CCAACGGACAAAAGGTGTCAGTGGCTGCACGTGGACACAGGAAGGGAAAGCCCAGGGAGTCGGCTCCGCCATGACGCCCGGCCACTAGAACACTGTTTGTGAAAGGTCCGGTGACACAGGGCATGTCACGAACTACGTCAGATATTCACAAGAAAAACACTAGGAGACAGTCTAGAAACGCCACCGCGAGGTTTTCCCGGGTGACAAAATTTCTGGATTTCCCTCTGGTTTGCGTGACAGTGTGTCTTTGGGGATCCTTGGCCCCGATGGTCCTACAGGGTGTGTGTCATCAATCAACTCTTGGAAGCAGATATTTCATTAAAATATAAAGAGGAGAGAACAGAGATAGAGCCAGTAAGAGAGAAAACATGGCCCACGCCACCAACCAACATGCTGCGAAACAGTGTGCCCAGGAGGGAGGGAACTGGTCCCGGGAGGCCCTGCCCTGCGACGGCTCCAGTGCCACCCATGAGGGTCTGAATGACCTTATTTTTTTTTTATTGGTACCAGGGACTGAAACCAGGGATGCTTAACCACTGAGCCACATCCCAGCCCTCTTTATTTTTTGTTTTGAAACAGGGTCTCACTAAGTTGCTTAAGTCCTCGCTAAGTAGCTGAGGCTGGCCTCTAACTTTTGATCCTCCTGCCTCAGCCTCCCTAATCTCTGGGATTACAGGCACACGCCACCATACCCAGCATACTGTATAATCTTAAGGGTGCCTTTGGTTCAGGGCAAGGCACCATCCCAGGGCTGAGGGCTGTACCTCCTTTAATCTGGGTACAAGGGGGGTTGTTGCAAGCCCCACTTTAGGAATGAGGCAGTTGAGGCCCAGGGAGGTAAGTCTCCTGGTGAAGGCCACCCTGATTAAGTGCTGGTCCCAGATGTGAGCCCGGCTGTCACTACGCTCCACGGTCGTCTGTGAATTCTCAGGGGATGATGGAATCCCGGCTACAGTAGAAACACAAGAGAATCCATCCCAGTTGGCGGGGAGGGGAGGGGAGTGGTCAGAAGGACAAAGGAGGACAATGAATGCAAGGTGTCCAAAACCACCCTAAGATACCATCTCACTCCAGTAAGATTGGCAGCCATTATGAAGTCAAACAACAACAAGTGCTGGAGAGGATGTGGGGAAAAGGGTACACTTGTACATTGCTGGTGGGACTGCAAACTGGTGCGGCCAATCTGGAAAACAGTATGGAGATTCCTGGGAAAGCTGGGAATGGAACCACCATTTGACCCAGCTATTGCCCTTCTTGGACTTTTCCCTGAAGACCTTAAAAGAGCGTACTACAGGGATACTGCTACATCGATGTTCATAGCAGCACAATTCACAATTGCTAGACTGTGGAACCAACCCAGATGCCCTTCAATAGATGAATGGATAAAAAAAAATGTGGCATTTATACACCATGGAGTATTACACAGCACTAAAAAATGACAAAATCATAGAATTTGCAGGGAAATGGATGGCACTAGAGCAGATTATGCTTAGTGAAGCTAGCCAATCCCTAAAAAACAAATACCAAATGTCTTCTTTGATATAATGAGAGCAACTAAGAACAGAGCAGGGAGGAAGAGCAGGAAGAAAAGATTAACATTAAACAGATACATGAGGTGGGATGGAAAGGGAGAGAAAAGGGAAATTGCATGGTAATGGAGGGAGACCCTCATTGTTATACAAAATTACATATAAGAGGTTGTGAGGGGAATGGGAAAATAAACAAGGAGAGATATGAATTACAGTGGATGGGGTAGAGAGAGAAGATGGGAGGGGAGGGAGGGGGGATGGTAGAGGATAGGAAAGGTAGCAGAATACAACAGTTACTAATAGGGCATTATGTAAAAATGTGGATGTGTAACCGACGTGATTCTGCAATCTGTATTTGGGGTAAAATTGGGAGTTCATAACCAACTTGAATCTAATGTATGAAATATGATATGTCAAGAGCTTTATAATGTTTTGAACAACCAATAAAAATAAATAAATAAATAAATAAATAAAATAAAAGCGTTCTATGTGGCCTTTCTCAATTTCTACCACATACACAAATACAAACTAGGGTGATCAATTTGCTCTGCTTTTCTTAAGACCACCCTAGTTTTAAAACTGAACATCCTCTGTCTCAGGAACTCCTCAGTCCTGGGCAATGGAATGGCTAGTCACCATAATGCAAATTTAATTTTGAAATTTGGATTAGTGTTCATTTCAAGGAATACTATTAGTTTAAAAAGGCATCATGACACAGAGAGAAAAAAAAAAAAAAAGAAAAACTTGGTCTAGAAGTCTTGCCCTTGCATTTCCATGCTGAATATTCTGGAAGAAACTGTTTAATATGATAAATAGTTTCCTCATCTGGAAATGGGGTTGTAGCTCAGTGGTGAAGTGCCTGCCTTGCACATGTGAGGCACTGGGTTTGATCTTCAGCACCAGAGAAAAATAAATAAAATAAATAAAGGTATTGTGTCCATCTACAATTTAAAAAAAGTTTCCTCATCTGTATAGCACAAGGATAATTCTAATTCTTCTGAAACATGGTGTTAGGGCTCTCTAAGACAAATGTGAAAGCATTTGGCAAACTATACATCCCAATAAATCTTAGGAAATTTTTATTTGTGCTTGAAGTGAGTGAATAATTTCAGGAGGGAATTCTAATTACTCTCTTATCAATTCTTTATATATCGGAAGCAAAATCTTATGCAAACTCATAAAAATAAGATTGTCCTATGGCTAAACTTCAATTTCAGATAAGCAAAGGTGTTTTCTCAGCATGAAGAAGGTCTCCCTACAATATCTGCTAACCTGATCACCTTGGGGACTCAGGCCTAGTAAGTCCTCTTCTTGGGGGGCATTTGCTGACCCTCAGATTCCCTTAAAGACACAGTCCCTGAACGGCCCAGTCCGGTAACCAGCTGAAGCTTGTCTGGAAGCCCCGCGGAGCTTCAGACTTGGTTCTTGTTCCAGAGAACAGAGGGAGCCTTCTCTTGATACCTGCTGGGCAGCCGGAGAGGACAGAGAAACACCCAGCACTTTCCACAATTCAGCTGGTCTAAAAAACACCCCATAGAAACACACAAGATGGGGGAAGGGAACAGGAAAGTACTTCCAACGCTGTCTGGACACCCTCCCGCCAGGACCGTTCCTTCAGCAGCCTCTGAACAGACAGGCCGGGCTGGGAGGGCTCCCGGGGCCTGGCCTGGGCCCTTTTTCTCTTTGGAAACCACAGGAAAACCAACAGCCCGTGTGGATGGAGTGAGAGGCTGGGCCAGAACTCGTTAGCTACATGCGAAGTCCCGGCAACCAACGGCTGAGCTTCTCCAGTTCTGCCTTCAGGGTCAGAGGTTCCCAGTGGCCCTCAGTCATGCGGGCAGAGGCAGGAGAGAATGAGCCCTGGGCTTTAGAGCTAGAGCCGGTGGCCTCAGCCACTGCAGGAGACTCTCCCTGTGGCCTTCAAAGTGTGGTCCCCAGACCAGCAGCCTTTGGGCCCTCGTGAGCTGAGTGGAGCTTCCCAGTCCTGCCCAGAGCTGCTGAACTGGATGCCTGAGGACCAACCCATCCATGTCCCTGTGTGTGTGTGTGTGTGTGTGTGTGTGTGTGGTGTGCGCCTGCCGCAGCTTTATTAAGGGGAATTTGATACAAGATAAAAGTTCATCTTTAAAACGTTCAGTCTGCTAAACGTGGACACTACAGTCCCCCCACTTTTCTGCATGGAGAACACAGTTCGCTGTCCCCCGTAGATGGCGGCCACCACAGATGGTCCCCTTCCCTACATTCCGTGTCTTTGTCTCCCTACACATACGCGCCAGCGATAAAGTTTAATTTATAAATTAGGCGCAATAAGCACAAGTTCCTAATTTTGATGGAGTTGATTCTTAGGAACGGTGACTTTGGCGTTACATGAATTTGGTCTTGGTTCAACCTAAGGTTATGGATATTTTTCTCCTGTTTTCTTCTAGAAATCTTATGGTTTTAAGTTTTAAATTTAGGTTCATGATCCATTTTTGGTCAATTTAAACACAGAGTTTGAAAAGAATTTTTTTTGTTTTTTGTTTTTTGTTTTTTGCATGGGAATATCCAATTACACCAGGACGACTTATGTGCCAGACACATCCGTTTGGAAGAGGCTTTGGAGAGGAAACCATCTATTCCCCTTCACCTGGTGAACTCCTACTCATCCTTCAAAACCCAGCTCAAATGTCCCCTTGGCTAAGAAGTCTTTTCTGACCGAGGCTGAGTAGCTCCTTCGACCCTCCTCTGGTGTCAGCAGCATCTCATGCTCCCTCTCACATACCCTTATCTCACGAGATTGCCCTAACTTCCACCCCTGTCTCTCTTGCTACAGTGAAAATTCATTTAGCATCTTCTGGGCACTTCTACATGGGTGGGGGAGGTGTGTAGAGGGAGGCGGGACTGAGAACACAATTGTTAAGATGCAAACAAAGGAGTAAAATGTCCAACAAGGGGGACGTTGGATTTTCTTAGGCAATCAAGTATCCCTCCCTCAAGCCCCCCCACGCCCCCCCCAGAGAGCCTTCATCAGGAAACGCCTGGGGGGCTCCTACCCTCCTTCAGCTCCATCAGTACTGGCAGAGTCCCCCAGGGACTAGGGCAGGTCATGCCCGGTGCTAAGCGCTCCTGCGGGTTCGTTCCCTTCTTCCTCGCAGCAACCCATCAGGCAGACTAGTCCCATCATTAATTTACAGAGGACTATACAGACGTTCAGAGAGGTTGCATTCCACGCCCGATGCCACATATCTGGCGTTGGAACCAGGGGTAAGTGCAGCCCACACGGTCCCGGGCCCTATGCTGTCACCCCTGCATACACCACCTCCTGGCTCCAAGTCCCGTCTGTCTCCCCAGTCAGCCCAGACTCCTTGAAGGCCTCCCCCACACTTCAGCCTGATGGAGACCAGTGCCAAAGGATACATGTGGCTCCGGGACCACCCCACACCCCCTTCCAGGCCGCGGACTCACCCCCCCCCAAAAAAAACGACCCCTTACCTTGGACCACACGCCCATGCCAAAGGTGCTGCTTTCTGCTGTCTGGTGCAGGTTCAGCTCGGTCCTGGAAGCAGAGAGGGCAGATCTGGGGGGTGTGGCCATAGGCGGAGGGCGTGGCCATAGGCGGAGGGCGTGGCCATAGGCGGAGGGCGTGGCCATAGGCGGAGGGCGTGGCCACCGCAGGTAGGGCCCAGGGGCTCCTGTAAGCCCAGGTCCCACCAAGTTGCCCGGGGCATCCCCTGGCCCTGAGGATTCCTCACTGACTACCCTTCCTTGACCCTCCGAAGAGCCAGGGAACCGGGCAGAGAGGGCCATGGAGCCGTTCTGGGGGTCAGCAGGGCGGCCTCCCCCACACAGGACGTTAGCCAGGCCACAGGCACAGGCCTCAGCCACGCCCACCCTCCCAGCCGCTCAGACTGGTTCCCGCCCCCACCCTGTTCTCTGCAGACCCTGCACCCTCTCCTGTGCTCCTGCCTGGAGCAACCTTGTCAGACAGGCTTCCAGCCCAGTCCTGCCTCCCACCCGACAGACAGGCCTTTCTCTTCCAGCCTCACTTTTCCTCATCTGTATGATGGGCGCCGTGCCCTTGACTCAGGATTAAAGGACACATCTCCAGGGCCCTGCTCCACGGATCCCTCACACCCTCCCCCATTCCATGGAAACTCAATTTGACAAATAATTAAGGATCCACCTCAACGGTTTCAGCTCCTCTGCTGGGCACGGGGGAGGCCGAAGGAGTAAGCAGACCCCGACCCCAACACCCCAGTCAATTCTGTGAGAAGGGGAGCCCTGTACCCCTCGGCAATGGCAGGTGAGGAACCAGAGCACATCACAGACCCAGAAAGGAATGGAGTGAAAGGGAGGAGCGGGAACCAGGCAGCGCTCTTGTAAAGGAGACGTGGAGAAGGGTTTTGAAGGATGGGTAGGAGCCTCCCACAGGTGAGGTCTGTGGACGGGGGAGCTGCTCTGCGTCCTTTGGAAGTTCCACGTGGAGGCCAGCCACCTTGGGAGCGGAGAGGGAGACCGCCTGGGAGCTCTCTGGGGAGCATGACCGCCTCAGGGGGCTCACTTGCTCCAGTTTTCTCCACTCTTATGGGGTCCCTGGGGCTCCTCAGAGGCGGCTGTGACCTGTTTCTCAAGGATGTCAAACTCACCAGGCACAGTGGTGCCCGCCTGTCATCCCAGCAGCTCGGGAGGCTGAGGCAGGAGGACGGCGAGTTCAAAACCAGCCTCAGCAACTTAGTGAGGCTCTAAGCAACACAGTGAGGTCTTTTCTCTAAATCAAATGTTTTTTAAAAGGCTGGGGATGGGGCTCAGTGGTTAAGCGCCCCTGGGTTCAATCCACAGGGCAAAAAAAGGTGCCAAACTCCTCTAAGTCAAACCCACCAGCACCCAGAGACCCTGGGACCGGGCCGGGCTGGCGCAGAGGGCAGCCACTGCAGCAGACATGGCCCAGCCGTCCTTCTGCGCTCCCTGGGTGCCCCCAGCCGTCCGTCCCCTCTCCAGCCCACCCAGGGGCTCAGGAGAGACCCAGAGCGGGGCCCCAGGGCTGGAAGAGGGGAGCCGTGCATGTATTTCAGGGCTACAAGAGATGCGGAAATGGAAAGCCACACAGTGCAGCCTCTCCTGAGGCCGCGGGCTGGAATGGGGGACTGGAAACTCCCTGTCAGAATCACCTCTTCACCCTGCCCTGGTACGTCCTTCCTAGGCACCACACACCGCTGCCTGAACACGTGATATTGTTTAATTACCCACACCATAATAAGTGCCCATTCTACAGAAGAAGAAACTGAGGTTCAGGGAGGCCCACCTGGGGCAAAGCCAGGAGCAAACACCCATCCTTTGACACCAAAGCCAGCCCTTTCCAGCACATACCTGGTCAGGGCCGGAAGGGGTGTAGGCCAGTAAAAATCCTCCCCAAATCCCAGCAAGCACAAAGCTCTCACTGTGTTCACTCTTTGGCCCTCACAATAGCATCCTGAGGTAGCCATAGTCACAGTCTTTTTACAGATGAGGAAAGCAGGGCTCAGAGAGGTTCATTACTTGTTGAAGGTCACACAGCCAGCAAGTGGGGGAGCCAAGATACAAATCCACGAAGCCTGGCCCAAAGCCTGTGGTCTTAGCTACGATGCTGTGTCGCCCTATGCCAAGTTCTTCTGTGTGTCCTTTAGGCTTTCCAGAAGTTTCCTTACTGCTCAGGTACCCTGTTCTGGAATCCACAAGTTATTTCTCTCATCTGCCCACTCTCTGCAGGACACGGTTTCCCCTCTGGCCTCAGCTAGAGGCTCAGGAAAGACTGAGCTTGTCCTCCAAGGGAGGACAGAGGGGCACAAGGCCCTTCTGCTAATGTACCTGGGGAAAGACCCCGGGGGGTTCCACTAGAACCTTCCTGATCTGTCTGCCAGATGAGGAAACCGAGACCCAGAGAGAGAGAGAGACCACATGCCTGAGGAAGCCCTAGAGAGCCAGGAGGGAGAGGGGATCCCTGGGCCCCCTCCTCCAGGAAGCCCTGCAGACAAGGCCAGGCCGACTCCTGCTCCCTGCCCTGCCAGCTCGCCCTCTGTCCCAAGGCGCCCCATCTGGGCACCTGGCCATGTGCACCCAAGGCAGCCACAAAGGTCACGACTTCTGGAAGACATGGGGGTCTCTTCCCCCACTGTCAGGCCCTGTACCCACTTGTCACCGTCCCAGCTGACAGCCCTGCCCCTCCAGCTCTGAATAAGAATCCTATAAGGTCTCTTCAAGACATCTTTTCCACTTTACAGAGGAAGAAACTGAGGTTCAGAGTGGATGGGCTATGAGCAAGATCCCAGCCCACGAGCACCGTGTCCCTGGGGGACTGAAGTCAGAGGCCCTTCTTCACACCTGGGGTCGTGGCCTCTCAGCTCCAGGCAGAAGCTAGACTGGGCTCTGGGGACAGCGGTCCCTTGTCCCACCCACCCCGGGCACTCACCTGAGATCCAGGTCCAGCCCAGCCAGCATCTGGGAGAAGACCTTGAAGTTGCCCTCCCCTTCCGGCTGCCGAGCCACTCGGCTCTTCTCCAAAAGCATCGTCTGTGGGGCAAAGATGGGCCCCTGTCACTGTGGGGCCCGTCTGCCCACTGCCACCCGCCCACCCCTGAGGCCACATCTCCTGGTCCAAGTGTCTCGGGTTCAGAGTTCTCTGGGAAGGGCACCCCACACACAGCGGCTACAGTGAGCCTCAGGGAAGTTCCCCAGCAGGGCCACCTCGGACACCGTCTCAGGGACAGGAGCCTCTATAGCCCCAGCCATGGTGCCCATGGTGGGGGCCAGGCAGGGCCGGGGACAGCGATGTCCCTTCCATCAGGCACCCAGGAGACTCCCTGTCCCGGCTGTGATCCTATTTCCTATTCAAACAGCATGTCTGAGGGGGGCAGGGAGGGGGGCGGGTGATTTTGGATATGGGGACAAACAGGCCATGTGTTGTCACCCACCGGTGGCCCAGCGCAGCTGCGCGGCTTCAGCTTCTGGTTTTAAGCCCCTGGCTAAGAAGCGCCTGGCCATGCACTTGGTCCTGGAGATTTCCCCCTGTGATGGTCCCCAGAGCAGATGGCCAGGCGCTGGAGGGAACACTTGGGGCACCCAGCAAGAGGGGCGCAGTTGACCGTGACCACTGAGGTCCCAGCTGGAGGGTGGAGTCATTAGAGTGGAGCTGGGGACACAGCAGCCTCGGTGCACCCCGAGGCTCACCTGGAGCTGAGCGGCTGTGATGCGGCCCATGGCGTTGAAGTCCAGTGACATCACCATGCTAAATCGGGTGGCGCTGCGGCTGTGGCCCGTGGACACAGAGCCAAAGGCCCTGAGGACGGTAAAGGCCGCTCGGATCTTCTCCACTGTGGGGTGCAGGGCAGGCTGTCAATCACGCCTCCCCCAGGACGGCCCTCCCTTGCTGGCCCCTCCCCGCGGCTCCCCGCCTCCCCCCCCCTTCAGCTCTAGACCACACCTCCCGCTGAGCGCCCGCCTGCAAGGCCCCAGGCTGAGAGCAGGAGCAGGGTGCAGGGCAAGGCCCAGTCCACCAGGGGGAGCTGACTGCCGGGACTACTCCCCAATGGCGGCTGCCCCAGGGCCTCCTGGATCCAGGACGGGGCAAAACGCTAACTTTCCCCCACCTGAATGCAGAACCCAAGGCCCAGCAGCAGGCCTGAAAGTCCTGAGTACCCGTGGTGCATCCCTCACTCCGCTAGGCACCTAGATACAGCCCATCCTGACTCCCACCTTCAAAGGCACACACACTCCCAGCAGAGCTACACCGAGGGAGGGCAGGGACTGTGCCTCTGCCGCATCCCCTGCTCCTAACAGGGGCCAGGTGGAGAGAAGAGACCCAGGACAGCACTGGAATATCCCTGGGGGAGGGAGCAGGGCACAGTGGCCAAGAGAGCTCGGAGGTGGGCTCTGCCTTGGCTGGTCACCTGACTGAGAGAAGTAAGGAGCCCTCTGTCCCGAGCCTCGGGTGGCCTGCTGGCAACCTGAGGGTAGTGACATACCCACCTCACGCAGTTGTCATGAGGACTGGATGATTTAATAATGCAAAGCACTTAAAAGGTTCCCGAAGGGGTGATGTTGTTATCATATATAGAAAAGCAGTTTATTATGAGCATCACACATAATATAATATTCTTAGTTAATATCACACTATAGAAAAGCAGGGTCGTGTGTGCTCAGTGGGGAGGACAGAAACCACCCTCAATGGGGGCAGAAACTGATTCCTGAAAGTGGCAAAAAAAAATCTCTTTTTTTTTTGGTCCTGGGGATTGAACCCAGGGGCACTGACCACTGAGCCCCACCCCAGCCCTATTTTGTGTTTTATTTAGAGACAGGGTCTCCCTGAGCTGCTCAGGGCCTCATTAAGTTGCTGAGGCTGGCTTTGAACTCGCAATCCTCCTGCCTCAGCCTCCCCAGCTGCTGGGATGACAGGCGTGTGCCACCGTGCCTGGCTCCCAGAAAAAAAAATTGGTCTTTTTATTACAGAGCACAGATAGACGCCCCCACACATGGGTATATAGTTCCCCTGTGGTACTAAATGTCCACTGTAGGGTAGACAACAGAGGGGAAGTGTCCAAAGCTCCTGGGGGACAACAAGGAAAGCCTGAGATCCTGGCCCGGAGGTTGGGATCAGGAGCCAGGCTGCCTGGTTTTGCATTCAGCTCCAGGACAGATGGGCTGTGTGGCTTCGGGCAAGATACTTGACTTCTCTGACTCTCAAGGCTTTCACCTATAAAATTCAAACAGTCACATCTACTATATGGCCTACCACAGGCCTGTTTTAAATAATAAATAAGTTCGTTTTCATGGAATAAGGCCTGGCACGCACGTCCCTGGCAAACATGCACTCATCATTAAATTGTAGTTATGATGATCATTAATTGGCACTCTATCTTTAAGGCTCAGCTCAAATCTCACTGCCTCCAGGACCTTCTTTGTGCCCCTCCTGTGTGCTTCAGAGGCCTGACCAGCTCTGCCAGCCCTTTTGCTGGACATTCGCCCGTGTCCATAGGCACAGGTGCATTTCCCCTCAGCTCTCAGCTCTGCCTTCCTGTCTCCACTCAGGGGGCGCTCTGTGCGGTTCAGCAGGTCGTACACTGCACCACAGCACGGCATCTGAGGCCCACACGGTTCACATCATGCTATCACAGATTCGTGGACTTATTAGGACGGCTTCCCAGCAGATGGCAGTCCAGTGTCTGGTTCTAACAATGCCCACTGTTGACTGCTGTTCTGCAAATGGCCATCGATATCTTGAGGAAGAAATATCTTTATCTAAGCCACACAACGGTGTCCAACAGTCCGGAGGGGGCCCTCAGGAGCAAGCGCATCTAGTCAGATGGCTATGAGGAGGGGAGCCCCGCACACTCCCGCTCCGACCCTCCCTGTCTCCACCTCCACCATGTCGCCTGGAGCCCGCCGTACCTGACACCCTGCCGTCCACACTGCCTGCCATTGCCACCAGGTGCTCCAGGACCTGCTTGCAGCAGGTGGTCTTCCCCGCGCCACTCCGGCCCAGGGCCACGATGCTGTGGTCCCTCCGCTGGCTCAGCAGCTCCCAGTAGGCCCGCTGGGCCAGGGAGCAGACGTGGGCAGGCAAGCCGTCCCGGCGGCCCCTGGGCACCTGCAGAGATGTGTGTCCACAGAAGTCACATCGCTGGTCACAGTGACCACCTGGACAAAGCCACAAGACCCGGGAACAGCCCAGATGTCCTTCAACCAGTAAGCCAAGGTGAGCAGCCACCGAGCTGTGCCCTGCAGGTCCCCGGTGAGGGCACCGGGCCAGCTGGTCACGCCACACACAAACAAGGGGACCCTCAGAGAGCACAAGGACTCCATGGCAGGTGTGTGGAGGAGACCCGGGGCCGGGACCTGCCAACGTTAGAGCTGTCCTAGGACGTGATGGGCCAGCCCGGCCGGGACTTTTTGGAAAACGTGAAAGTCTTGGAGGAAAATGAAATCCGCAGCTGCCGGGGTGGGACTCGGGGTGGGCTGCACCCCAGAGGGGCCCCCAGGTCTTTCGAGTGACAGGGACCGTCCTGGAGTTGGCTGCAGAGGGCTCCGAGGCTGTGTCCAAAGCCCCCTGACCACAGGCCGAGGCGGGGGACCCCCTGAGAGCTACGTGAACCTGACCTTGGTAACCAGCCCTCCCGCCCCGCGGAGCTGCGGCTGCTGGAGGGGAAGAGGAAGAGACAGAGCCATCCCACGGGCACAGCCTGCGCAGGGTCACCAAGGACGCAGGGGAGGTGGGGACACGGAGCCCTGGCCCTGGAGGCCAGGGGACATGGAGGACAATGTCCAAGACCCGAGACACCAAGTCGTGACCACGGCAAGATCCCGCCCCATGCCTTGGTGGGACCAGGGGACAAACCCCAGGAGGGACACGACCCACCCTGCTGGACACAGCCTGGGGCTCAGGCAGAAGGTCACAGGGTCCGAGCCCTCGGGCCAGCCCTGCTCTGGAGTTCCAGGGACAAGGCAGCCCACTCGTGGGATGCTGGGACCCTGGTCTTGGGGGAGGGGGATTCCGCAGATTCGACCCTCAGTGGCCCCATGGTGTGTCTATGCATGGGGACCCCGCCACACGGGCACAGGCATTGAAGGGGCGGAGGCCCGTGCACAGAGCCATGCCCAACGGTGCCCTGGTCCCACGCATGCTGACGCCCACAGGGACTCCATTCCTCTCGGCCCCCAGCTCCTGGGGACCAGGACTCCCGCAGCTGCACCCCCAGAGTCACCCAGCCCATCCTTCGGGAGCCCCAGGAAGCCCCAGCATCACTGCAGGTCTGTGCTGCCACCTGGTGGCCATTTGGAGAATCAGAGCTGGACCCAGCCCAGGAGAGTGGGGGGCTGTGGTGTGGCTGCAGAGGCCAGGAGACTTGAGGGAAGGAGGTGGGAAGCCCCGGGAAGGAGTCTGGGGGACCATGACACCCAAATGCCACCATCAGGGGATACCCCAGGGCCTGTCCTCTTAGGCACTTTTGTGCAAGCTCTGATGCCCCAAATCCAGGACAGCTATGTGGACCTAGCCCTCTGTCCAGACTATAAAACTGCCCCCTCCCGGGGGTGGCCAAGTTGCTGGAGGGGTTGCTCAAGGATTCAGAGATCCCAGAGACCTGGGATGCATTAACAGAGGCACAAGCATTTGCAGCAGGGAGGGGACAGGCACCTGCCAAGCTTAGCCCACTCGGCTCCTGAGGCCCTCCCAGGCCCCTGCCCATAGACACCCACACCCAGAGAGGCCTGGGAGTCATTGGAGGGCACAGGTGAGTCACCCTGGAAAAGAAGGTCTTGGGAAGGGTGCAGGGCCACTGTCTCCTCTGTGTGGACCTGGCCTCAAGCAGGGATCAGGAATGGGTTTGTCACAAGGGGATCCAGAGGGCAAGATGTGGCTTTACACCCCAGTTGACATATGGGGAAACTGAGGCCAGAGAAGCATCGTGGTCTTTCCCAGGCCCCAGGTGTTCCAGGGGCCCATGCCTGCCCCAAGGTCTCAGAACAGTGCACTGAGGGAGCCTTGGCCTTCTGTCCCCTTCTCTCCACTTTGTCCCTTTCCACGTCTCCACCACAGCCCAGGGGACCCCTTCACCTCTGTCCCTCTGTCCCACTAAGAATCTCCAGGACCCACAACAACTCAGGTGGGAACTAGTGAGGGGGATGCCACTGTGGTTCCAGGTCCCCCCACAAGGTGGCGCATAGAGCTCTCCTGTGCCTTTGGTTCAATTGGCCAGATCCAGGCCTGATGGATCAGGGTGGACTGAGGCTGCTCTTTCTGTATCTCGGCCCAGTGCGGTGGCACCGAGGGGCGAGCCTGAGGCCTAGGTCTTATCCAGGCTCCTCTGCAGGTTCAACCTGAGGGTCAGCGGCCTGCTCCCCTCTGACCACCAGCTTCTCATCTGTAAAACGGGCTGGGAACGCCTGCCTTCCGGGGGCAGGTGGGAATTGACAGGCCATGCCCCAGTCTGGCCAGCTTGACATCATCCCTAGTGCCCCTGGGGCTCCCCCAGTGACTCGCCTCTCTCCACCAGGAGCAGGGGACCATGCCCCAGTACTGTCTTTGGCAGGAATGAAGGGTCTCCTGGGGCCCTGGTCCTGCTCTCCCCTCAGCTGCAGAGGGTCCTCCCCTCCTCCCGCACCTGGTCCCCTGCCCCTCCCCGTCCCCACTCACCTTGGCTTCAGGGGGCGCCAAGGGACCCTGCGGCTGAAGGACGATCAGATCAGGCCCAGAGCAGGTGTGTGGCAGCTGGGCCCGGTAGCGGTGCAGAAGGGTGTTCAGGACACTGGACTCGTTGACGCTGATGAGAGAGGCCAGGTCCTCGGCCTGGTCCAGCTCGGGGGGGTTGGCCTGCAAGCCGGCACACAGGGCTGGTCTCCTGGGCCTCCGGGGACCCGGCTACAGCAGCACCAACACACACACACACATACACACACATACACACACACGGTGGTCCTGTCCTTGGGAGCCACATGCCAAGGCCCGACCAGAACTCAGGACACAAGGACAATGGAGAGACAGTGGCACAACAGGGCCACCCCTTCTATAGGACACACAGACTGGTACAAGAGGGGCAGCCCCCCTCCCGGTCTGTCCTTCCCACACTCTGCTCTGGGAGAGCAGATGCTCCCCGAGACCCCGCAAAGCTCAGAGCACTTCGGTGTCCAGAGCGGCTACTGCTCATTCCTCCTTTTCTAGATCTTACTGGACACCTCTGGGTGTGCTCTGTGGTGCCCAGGGAAGGAGGTCCATAGCCAAACATCTCCTTTACCTGATAGGCCATGGTTCCTTGTTCCCTTGCAGATACACCCACACCCCTAGAAGAAAGACTGATGCCCAATGTATATAGGCTAAGGAACCTATACTACAGCTCAAATTTAACTGAGTTCCCTGGCAGCCAGAGTGCAAAAGGAAAGAGGCTCTGCAGCATGGCTTGCCACGTCCATAAAATGAAAAGCAACCTGTTTCTTGGGTCAGTCAGAACTCTCAGTGCCAAGGCCTGACAGAGGTGCTTCTTGATGTGTTCTCACAAAGGGGACGCCAGGGGACAGAGTCAGTCACCCCATGCGCTTTAGTCCCAGCAGCAGAGCACTGCATTCAATAGGGGCCAACCTACAGCTCCCCCAGGGACTCAAACCAAAGTGGCATCTACAAGGACATCTGCTGCAGGGACGGGGACGAGGGTGCAGAGCAGGCCGGGAGGGGCGGGAGACTCACCCTGTGCACGTGCTCCTCATCCACCTCCGTGATGGTTTGGTCAGTGTCCAGGCAAAGTCGTACCCTTCCCGCGGGCAGGTCGGCTGTCCCCTCGTCTGGCTTTAGTACCGTGGCTGGTGGAGAGCCCAGAGGGAGGACAGGAGGGACAGGAAGGGGAGGACACGAGGGGGAGGGAGGGGAGGAGAGCATGTTTGAGCCAGGCCAGCTGCAGCGGGGCTCAGGCCAGGCCAGGAAGGGCGACCTGCTCACCCCTTGGGGTCTGTCCGCATGGAGGGCACTGAACTGTGACCCCAAGCCCTCTAAAGACAGGGGCTGAGGCTGACTTGCAGCAGTGCCAGGAACAGAGCAGGCACCCTGAGGGTTGGGTGAACTGGACATCTCACCCCTAGACCTGGGATGGCAGAGACTGGCACTTCCCCTTGGGGTACCCTGGCAGACATTGCTAATCAATCACTGTCCCCCGCCTGTCCTGACGGCAACTCGGAACCACTTCTTAGTAGAGCACAATCATGGGCCGCAGCTCATCTCTGCCAGCTGCTCCTAGACCCTCGGTTCCTGTGGGACACCGTAGGAACCAGCCCGATTTGTGGCATTAAACCCATTAATTAATTATCAAGGCTCAGATGTCTTTGATAACAGTACTCAGCAGGCCAGCTCCCCAGGGTGAGGTGACCATTGGCTATTCCCACTGCCTCAAAGGCCATGTGTGCCCTTGCCAGTCTCTGCTGCACCCTAAGCATAACCAGGGCCTCCACGATGACAACCACCAGCAGCAAAGGGCACAAGAAGAGAGAACTAGAGCCCGCCTCCCTCCCGTGGCACCGACACCCCTCATTACCAAGAGTAAATCCGTCCTTCTGAACCAGCCAGACTTTCTCTGCCTGGTACCATCTGTCCTCAGGAGCCTGGGAGCAAAAGATCACACCGGTTAAACTGACAAAGTGACAGTAGTCCTGCCTCGGAAGCTGGGACACCCGTCGGGCAGTTGCCCACAGTGTGGTCTGAGACCAGCGAGGAAATCAGAATCACAATGCAGACTCCAGGGCCCTGGCCTTTTGAACAACGGGAACCCCCAAGACGCCCAAGAATCTGCATCTCAACCAAGATGCTATTTTGGCCACCTAAGCTGTCAGACCTGCTGGGTGACAGGTGAGTAAACCGAGCCCCGCCCCCAACGGAGGGAGATTTGCAGGTTGAGAACCTTCTCTCCCAGCGCAGAATTCCAGCCCGGGAACCTCAAGACCCTTGCCAGCCAAAAAATGCCACCCCCTCCTCTGGGTGCCCCAGGACTCCCCCCCCAGTTCCCCATCCTGTCCCCTGTCCACCTCCATGGTCACCAGGGCAGCTCCTTCCCGCCACCTCCCACGCCGGTGCGCCCCAGCACCTGGTCTGAGTCTCCGCTCTGGCCTCCTCTGCTGTCCTCCTGCAGGGCTGTCCCCTCCTCGGGCTGCGTCTGCCCGACCCCCGGGGTCTCCGCAGGCCTTGGGCTTCTGTCCAGCTGCGGCAGCCCGGGCCCGTCCCCGTCCTGGGCTCTGGCGCAGGGCTCCTGCGCTCTGCCTTGCGGCGCGTCCTCCTGTCCGGCTGCCGCCAGCGACGGCCCCTCTGTAGCCACCTCCTCTGGGGCTCCGGCCGCCCCCCGGGCCTCCTCTGGCCTGGCACAGGGCTCACCTGTCCGCCCAGGTGCGCCTGCCGCCTCCGGCTCCCCGGGAGCGCCCCCTGGCGGCGGCAGGCTGCCCTGCGCTGTGCCTCCTGCCGGCTCCTCGCTGCCGGCCCCGAGCTCACCTCCTTTGTCCTTCTTGCTCTGGGGACCACCCCACTTACTCTTTCTGCCCAGGGAACCGCCCCATTTCCTCACTTGGACTCGAGGCCCAGAGGGCTTCTCTTCAGTCCCCACGTCCTTGGGCAGACCCCCCTTCTCGGTCTTGCGTGGGGGATCCCCTCCCTCCTTCTCCTCCGCCCCTGGCTGCCCCCCATCACCTGCCCCTTGGGTTTGGGGCCTGGTCCTCTGCTCCTCTTTGCCCTGGGGCTCACCCCCTTTCAGCCCTTTGGTCTGGGGTCCCCTGCCCCCCTTCTCGCCTTCTGATCCTTGGCCTGGGTCCCCAAGACCCCCAGTCCGGGTCTTCTCAGGCTTCGAAGCCAAGTTCTCAGTGGAGACCTGGGACCCAGAGGGACTCCCTGGGGTCTCCCCTTGCTTTTCGCCCCCAGGGTCTGTGACTGCGGGTGGTGTCTTGCAAGTGGGGGGATCACGGGGCTGGGTCCTCTGCTCTGGCTGGGGTGCTCCCGGGTCCAGCCTGGCCACCATCAGCAGCACATCGCCCCCCAGCACACCCCTCCTGAAGGGCAGGCTCTTCTTGGCTGGAGTCGCCGTGGGGCCTGACTCCTGGGGCTTCTCGCCATTGATGCTGGTCATCAGTGCAGGGGCAGTGCTGCCGGCCCCCTGGCTCCCCTTGCCCGGAATGCTTGTGCCCTGGGGAGGGGCAGACTGGCTGTCCTGGGGAATCTGTTGGCTTCCAGATTTTGTGCCCCTGTTGGTCTTGCTGTTTGGTGGACTGGTGGAAACTTCTGGGATCTAGGAAGAGACCACCACCATGCTTAGCTGCTCACTGACCCTCTCTGGGTGCTTCCCGACTCCCACCCTCCCCAAAGTTTGTCTGTTCTTTACACGTTCATTCACCCACTCATCCACTCTGAGCTTCTCATGCACCTCCAAGGCCCAACGGGCACCATGACGGGCAGTGAGGCTTGGCCCACAGCCTCAAGGCCAAGAGGCAGAGTGGGAGGAGAGAGGATCCCAACAGAACCAAGTTCAACCCCAGACTCTGCCTCTCCCTAGCTGTGAAGCCTTGGGTAAATTGCTTCCCCTCTCTGAACTTGTTGACTTATCAACAAACTGAGGATCTTAAAGGCCTGCCTTGCAGGGCGGGTGGGACAATTTGTGATAACACACAGAAAATGAGCCAAGCGCATAGTATGTCTTCAGTAACTATAGCAGGCGCCTCTGCTGCTATTGTTATTGGTATTGTTATTTATGCCTTGATTCTTCCTGCTGGGCCAGAGGGGATCAGGGAAAGGACTCGGGTCCTGTCATTAAGGCTCTCTTCTCATTCCTGGCTCCAATATTCTCCTGCTGGGTTGCTGGGAGCCATTAGCCAAGTAGGTATGACAATTTCCTTGCCAGCGTACCCCATGTTGCTGACATGTTGCAGTGACATTGAATGTAGGTGACCTTGCTCAAGGACCAAGGCAGATTAGGGTGTTCCCGGTTTTAAGATAATCATGTTTAGGGCGTTCCCAGTTTAGGTTCCAGGTTTAAGGTTTAAGATTATTCCTGCTGGGAATAGGGTGTATCCTGCTGCCTGAGTTCCCCTTGAGTTCTCACGGGATTCAGACAATATATTTTGGAGATAGAAGCCCAGTGGAGGTGGATTTGGGCAGAGAACGTGGATTTGGGCAGAGAACGTGGATTTCCCCAGAACGTGATTGTAGACGGCTGGTGTGAGTTCGGGAATAAAGAGTTGCTGTTTGAATCTACAAGCTGTGTGGTGGCTCGTGATTTTGTGCCCAGCCAGACTGCGGCATTTGTGCCCAGCCAGACTGTGGCACTGGGTGACCATAGATGGTACCATGGGTTCTCACTGAGCCCTGCCTCTGCACACGGAGACCTGGGGGCTGCTCCCCCCTGTGTCTATAACTCAGTCTTACAGATGCCTGAGCCTGGGCACCGGGGCTCTCACCCTCCCCTGACATGCACACGTGCTTGGGTCATGTTGACCCCTCCTCAGAGCCTCCCCTGTGTCTCCTTGCCCAGGCCCAGTCTCTCTCATGGGCCACTGCCACAGCCTCTGATCTGAGCTCTCTTCTATTGGCCACCATTCATTTTAAACCTGATCAAAAGATTTTGACAGCTGCCCACAGCCTACAGGAGAATCATCCAAACCATGATCAGACAGCCAGATCCTCGGCGAGATGTCCCCAACTGTCCCTGTCCAAGCTTTGGCTGCTCTGGGCACCTCTAACCAACCCAGTGGCTTCCCTGCCTCCACATGTGCCCATGCTGCGCTCAGGCCCCAGCCTTCGGCTTTTATACCCAGCTCAAATGTCACCCCTCGGCAAATCCATTGCCTGAAGCCCTCAACTCGAAGTTGTCTCACACATCCATAAAGTCTCGGAGCCTGACACAGTAGTGCCCACGTTCTGCACCCCATTTTAGTTTATCCCTGTGTCTTTCCTGTTTTCGGGGTCCATGCTGCCAAAGCACAGTCTCCATCTTTGGCTGTGGTGATAACAACAGGATTAGAGCAGCACATGCAGCCCTTTCATAACAGGCCATGACCCAATGTCCTACTGAACCCCCATAAGGACCCAGTGACAGGTTCTGCACTTTGCCCCATTCTACAGACAAAGATGCAGACATGAAGATATCCAGTGACCCCAAATACAGAGTGGGATTATAAATCCAGGTCTCTGGACTCCAACTCCACACACCACGTTACCTTCCTTGTTTTGTTCTAAGGCTCTTTGGAATCTCCTTGGGAGCTTTAGGAAATGCACATGATTTGTCCCCACGCCCAGAAACTCCAAGGTTGTCGGTCAGGGTTTTGGCTCCTCCCGAGATGATCCCAATGTATAACCAGAGCCAAGGGCCATATCTCTGGTACTGAGTGGCTCTGCCTGACCTTCCGGGGCCAGCAGGACATCAGCTCCGAATGGGGGCTGGCTGCACTTGGCAGGCCGCACCACTGTCTGCACTGTTTTTGAAAAGTGAATCACTGCCTTATTTTTAACCAGCTGCCACGGGTGACCATAGACAGTGACATGGAGACGTGCCAAACGGGAGAGCCAGCCCTGGCCTTGCCCCCTGCACACACGCACACATGAATTCTCCTCCTGGGATTTTATAGTCATGAAAGCTCCGGGCCCCCTGCACCCCACTTAGCATTTGAAAGAAACAGCACCTCTGTAGTCACTGGCCAGGGGGAAAGTCACAGCACATCTATTTTACAGACGAGGAAACCAAGGCCAGAGGATGGGGGGACTTTGGCCTGGACTTCATGACATGAAGGGGCAGGAGCCGGAACCCAGGTCTCCGTGACATGCCACCGGGGCCTGTCATTGTTCCAGGGCTTCCTGGCCTGTCTTTGGCCCTCACTGGTGGGTGACTGGAGGGGATCGGGCCACTTCCCAAGCCTTGTTTTCCCTTCCTGCAAAGTGGGGATGGGTTCCAATGACCGACTCCCTGCAGGACTATGTGAGGAGCAGAGGGACAGCTGGGCCAGGTCAGGGGGAGCGGATGAGGATCATTTACTGGTCGGGACAAAAACAAAATCGAACTGGCCAGAGCCAGCCAGGGCTTGCAGCCTCGCTGGGACCTGTTCTCAAGGCCCCTGCTCAGCCCCAGGGACATCTTGGCCTGTGGTGCCGCCACCTGTCCTGGCCTGAGGCTGCCCATCTCCTGTCTTGGCTCTCAGTCTCCACCAGCCCAGCAGGGGCAACTAATCCCCGCTCTCAGCTCAGTTCTGTTCCTTTACTTGCTCCCAGGGATGCCACCAGGAATGTCACCAGGGCCTGTGGACTTTCAAGGCCCCACACCGGCCACCCCCTTCACCAGGCCAGCCCTTCCCCAGATGGCTCCTGAGAGCACAGAACACTGACTCGTGCCCTGCAGCAAGTGCCGTGAACTACCCAGGCCTTAGTCTCCACCTCTGATAAATGGGTCTGATCCCATCCACCCCACTGCTGTGTGGGGTCCCTGCTGCACCCGTGAGCAGCCAAGTGAGCATCATTTCATGACAAACAGCACACAGTGACTCTTATCATGATCTCACAAGTGCCAGAAGATTCCACATTGGCCTCCTGCCTTAAGTCAGGCAGGGGTGGGGACAGAGCCTCTCCTCCCTGCTATGCGTCCCCACAAAGTCTTGACGGGGGCGTCTCCACAGCTGCTGCTGTTCAGGATGTCTCTGACATAGCAAAGTCACAGTGAGTGACAGGCCTGGTCAGCCAAACAGGCTGGAGCCTGGATGGCCCCCCGGACTCCACGGCGTGATCACCGCAGCATTCGCCTTGGCCTCAAGGGGGCGCTGGAGAGACGCCCTGTCCCCAAGGTGGCCTTTGCGCTACGTGGGGTTCAACAGTGGCTTCACCCCAGCACCTGCTCAGAACAACCAAAGGACTGAGTGGATGGCAGCCAATAACAACGGACGCCCGCCAGGGCAGGGTCCTGAGTCCTAACGTGGCCACGCACTGACCCCTTAATTATTGGGTGGTGGCTATTTCAGGGAACTTGGGGGAGCATGGCAGCCACAGGACACTGCGGGCCTTGGGGTTATGCGCACTTGCTACCATATTTTAACACCCACCCAGCCAGACCTGCGAGCACCAACCGAATTCTGTTTTCTGCTTACACTAAACTCACTGTGCATCTTAGTCCGTGTCTACTTCCTCCTATTTGCAAAAGTCAGAATAAAACAATCCCCATCATCATAGATCAACCGACCACTCATTCGTTCCTTCATTCATTCAACAACCATTTGTTGAATAATCCCTACAAGACATGCTCAAGATAAGTCACAAGATCTAACCATGGCCGTGGTTTCCATAATAAACCAGACATAGGAAACGGTGGAAGTCAGGAAGGAGGGCGATAGAACGTCCAGATGCACAAACTGAGATGGGTTGTGAAGGTGGCAGAGGAGCCCGACCACCCACCAAATTCAAGAAAAGACGTTCCTCAAAGTGGGGGCGTTAGGAGCAAAGACAGACGCGAGGCCACTTACCTCTTGTTCTGGGGAGGCCAGCACCGCCTGCTTCCTCCGCCTGGCTTCCTTGGACTCCTTCTCCGTCTCGCGGACCAGTTGCCTGATGAAGCCCCCCGGGATGACGGAGAAGAGGGGAGGGGGCGAGGACGGCGGAGGAGTCTTGTCCTCTTCCCGGATCTGTGTTGCAGACGCAGGGAAGGAAGACCAGTGAGCCCACCCGCAGGCTGAGGTCGCCAGGGCGCCTGGGCTGGTGAGGAGGAGAAGTGCCACCAAGCGCAAGAGCGAGAGGACGCGCAAAGCAGGTGGCGCTCCGCAGGAGCCGGGGGCTTGGGACAGAGCGTGATGGGGACAGGGAGCAGCAGAGCCAGTCGGTGGGTCTCCTCCTGGCTCCCGTGGCGCTGAGACCTGACTCTGGGCCACAGACCTCAGGTTCCCTTCCTTGGCTGGGGACAGACCCTTCCCTGGGAGGACGGCGCAGAAAGGAGCTTCTCGGGATTCCCGAGGGGATGGGTCCCAAGGATCCACCCGCGCTCTCCTGCCCACCGCTTGGAGTTGATATAGTACTTGCTCACTTAGTAATCACTCCCTGTGTGCTGGGCACAGGGCCGGGCGGGGAGGCCCGCTGCCGTGGTGTACACAGTCGGCCCCTTTGTCCCTGGATCCTGCGTCCCATCCCTAGACTGGACCAACCGTGGGTGGAAAGTGTTCAGGGGAAACAATGGCGTAAACCCGTGCAGGCTACGACTCACCAATGACTTAACAGCTATTGGGGGAGTGGGGTACCAGAGAGTGAACCCAGGCGCATAATCACTGAGTACACTCCCAGCCCCCTTTTATTTTTAATTTTGAGACAGTCTTACTGAGTTGTTTAGGGCTTTGCTAAATTGCTGAAGCTGGCCTTGAACTTGAGATCCTCCTGCCTCAGCCTCCCCAACCGGTAGGATCACAGGCATGCACAGCTGCGCCCAGCAGTATAACAGCGTTTGCTTTAACTATGCAGGACGTTATCTGCAGATATGACACCGTTTTATATAACGGACCGGATTATCTGCAGACTTCCATGACTGCAAGGGTCTATACCTAGTTCCTGTGGACTCTCAGGAGCCCTGTGCAAGGACCCAACCCTGAGGCTGCAGCCCTCTGCACTGACCTCTCTGCCTGCTTGGTGGTCCTTAGACCAGGACCCAGGCAGCCAGGGACTCCCCAGCACTGGGTCCTAAAACGGTCACCTGGACACCAGCGATTTTGCCCTAGAAATGGAGCCAGACCAGAGCCGGCTGGACGTGATTGTAGCTGAGATTCCCTGCTGGCCACAGTGACCTTGGGGGCTGAGACCTGGAACTCGCTGTGGCCAGCTGGGGTGTGTCTTTAACCCTCTTCACTGTCACTCCCACAAGAAAGAAAAAAATCAGCAGCGCTTTCTACGGAGGAGCCACACACTGGCCTAAAATAAACTCGTCATCAAGGTCCTCTGTGCCCAGATCGCGGGCAGGCAAGCTGGGGTCCCACCCACCCCACTCTTCCTCTGTCCCTCTGGATGCAACCAGGACCCACTCGATGTGAGGAGGTGAGCCCAATCCTAGCGTCCACCTCTGCTGTCCCTCACACGCTCCTTGAGCTACGGCCAGGTCAGACTGCAGGCAGGGGACAGCCAGCAGGCAGCAGAGGAGGCCTCTGCCCCACCTCCCGTCTGCCCCCATGGTCGGATCCCAAGCGCGGGAGGGCCCTTCCTGAGACCTGGGGAAGCAGCCACAGAGAAGAAAGAACTAACTAGAAGGGAGTCGTGTCCAGTTCTCCATGGTGACGAGGCGGGGGCCATGGTCTGTCTCTGCCCCCCGACACCCTGCTCCTCCCACTCCCCTGCCCCAGGGCTCATCAGGACACAAGGGAGTGAGGTGGACAGCTGGTCACCCTGGCTGCCCGGCCTCCCCCAAGGAACAGGGTGGACAGGCAGCCCTGAGAGGAGCCAAGGGCAGGGCCCTAATGCCCCGCTGGGTCAGGAAGGCCTTGGCTAAGCAAGCTGGCTGGGCGGTGATGGGAAGCAGGATGGATGTGTCACAGGCAGAACTGGATGTGACCCCCCCCACCCGAGGAGGGAAGGGCTGGCTTGGGCCACTCAGATTTGTCCTCCAGGACTAGAGTTGGCCCCTGAAGCCCCAGTCCCAGCCCCGGCCACCACTTTCCTTCTGCTCCCACAAGGCGAGGCGTGATGAGATGGCCATGCTGAGGCAGCCCTGCTGGGGTGGTGAGGCGTTGAGCTGGTGAGCCGAGATGGCGCTCCCGCCAGACAGCACGGAATGAGGCTCTAGGGACACACGTAGCACATGAGATGGGTGGACACAGGCCTGGCACAGACACAGCGGGAGAGAAGAGAGAGATGGTTAGACCTGGGCACAGTCCCACCCCACTGCCACCAATGCCATAAATCACGACTAGATGGGGATGGGACAAGCAGGGACAGCTACCGCCCTTCACTCCTGCCAGGAATACTGTCAGCAAGGAGGCCACTGGCCATAGAGTGCACAGCACCCTGCACCCTCTTCCTCTCGGCTCCACACTTGAACTTTACACAGTCAGGAAAAATACACAATTATCCACATGCATCTCAGCAGCTTTCGAGAGAAGACCTGCAGGACTGAGTCCCCTCCGAATGTTTTCAATGACAATTTTATTGATAAAACTTCAGGAACCGGGCTCCAGGGGACTTTCCAGGTGCTGGAAGTCTGAGTAATGATTTCTGAATCACCTCATAAGGAAAGCTCATGCCACTCTGTGACGAAGATTGGCCCCTTAGGCTGAGGACTGGGCTCAGTGTAGAGCCCTTGCCTAACCTGAGTGAGGCCCTGGGTCTGGTCCCAGCCACATGTACACACACACACCACACACACACACCACACCACACACACACACCACACACACCACACATACACAGCACACGTACTCACATACCACACACAGACCATACACATCACACCACACACACACACTCCTCACAGACTGGACATGTTCCTGTATGTAAATTATCTCAATTTCAAAAGATAAATAAAACACCACGAGGGCCCCGACCCTTCCACACGCCCACTGTTCCCTCAAAGGAGCCTCGCACCATGGACAGTGGGGTTTCTTTTTTGAAGGGGTGTCTGGTTGTGTACTTTGATCCCGCAATTGGGGCAGGATCCATAGCTCACAGCTGGCCCCTGGCTTTGGGGAAAGGATTTAATCATCCAATTGAGACCCTTAAAAATATTCATTGTTTTGGCCCCCAAAAGCTCTATTCTCTAAAGAACTTGGAGGAAGTCATCTGAAACCAGGAATGTTCATCACTGTGATGTTTACATCATTGAGAAAGATAACAGTGTGGGCAGCCAGAGGATGTCAAATACCATCAAGGACATCCCCAATTTTTTTTTTTTTTGTACTGGGGATTGATTGAACCAGGGGCGTTTAACCACTGAGCCATGTCCCAGCCCTATTTTGTATTTTATTTAGAGACAGGGTCTCACTGAGTTGCTTAGCACCTCACCGTTGCTGAGGCTGGCTTTGACCTCGTGATCTCGATCCTCCTGCCTCAGCCTCCCCAGCTGCTGGGGTGACAGGTGTGCGCCACCACACCCAGCAGTTGTTCTTTTTGACATGTGTTTTTCAATTTTATTAATTGCTTCATCCTGATTATACATAACATGGGATTTAAAGCAGCTTTATTGAGATTTACTTTATCTGCTATATTCACAATGTACAATTCAATGCCTTTTTCCCCTTTATGGCGATGGAGGTGGGGTGGGGGGTGAACCCCCGGGCCCTGCACCTGCTATACCACTGAGCCACGTCCCCGGGGAATTTAGATGAGCTGTAATAAATCTACAGTTGTGCGGCTCACACCACCATCTAGCTCTAGAACATTCTCACCACGCCATAAACAACGCTCATGCCCACTTCCAGTCACTAGCTGTTTACGCCGAGCCCCGGCAACCCTCCATCTCCTTCTGTCCTGTATTTGCTCTCAGTGGAAGGACACAGCACTGGCTCTCCCACATCTGGCTTTGCAGTTCCCAACTCCCGAGCCTTATCCTGCCCTGAGGCGGCTCCATGGCATGCAAAGACCACCAGTTGCTGGGTATTTATTTGGGCTGTTTTCACTTTGGGCGTCTTAAATAATGTCTCGACGAACAGTTCCACACATGTGTTTTCATTTCTCTTGGAGATTCCCAGGAGTGGAATTCCATGGATTCCACGGCGAATTTGTGTTTGATTTTTTCCAAGAAACTGTCGAGCTCTTTTCCAAAGTGGTTATCGGGTTTCCTACTGACCTCCCGTGTGTGTGGGAAGCTTTGTGGGGTCACAGTGAGGGGCGCTCACCTTAGCTTGTACAGTGAAGAAGGCAGATGCCCTGGTTGGGTAGGGTTTAAGTGTGTCCCCAAGGGTTCCTGTTCCAGGCCTGGCTGTGTTGAGATAGGGGACCTTTAAGAGGCGGAGCTTGGTGGGAGGTGGTTGGGTCATGGGAGGCGTGCCCTTAGAACGGGATTAGGTAGTTCTCCTAGACCCTGGGTAGTTCTTGCCAGAGGATGGATTGCAAGCCTGGCCTCTCCCCTTTCTCTGGCTTCCCTCCCCCATCGTGATACCATCCACCATGTGGTCCTCAGCGGAGTCAAGCTAGTGCCAGCATCATGCCCTTGAGCATCCCAAACTTTGAGTAAATAAGCCTCTTTCCTTCCTACGTTAACCAACCTCAGATTTTTTATTATAGTAATGGAAAATGGACTGCAATATCAGAGTATAACATTATGTACATGAAAACTGTCCAAAATGGCAGGACCCAGTGGCACACGCCTGTCCTCCCAGCGGCTTGGGAGACTGAGGCAGGAGGATCACAAGTTTAAAGCCAGCCTCAGCAACTTATGAAGGCCCTAAGCAACGGAGCAGGACCCTTTCTCAAAATTTTTGTTTGTTTGTTTTTTTAAAGAGGGCTGGGGGTGTGGCTCAGTGGAAAAGCCCCCCTGGTTTCAGCCCCTGGTACCAAAAAACAGAAAACCGTCCCCAATGGGCAAATAACCAAGCCCTCCACATGAAAGACCAACCGGGGGAAGTGCCCCACGGCCTTCGTGGCGGTGCCTTGAGTCGTCCTGGACCCCTCGCTGCTCTTCCTGGAGGATGCCTTGCCGTCCCCAGCTGTCACAGCCACACCGACCCACCTCTCCCAGGCGCTGACTGACGGCTCAGGGGCTGCAGCAGGTGGGGGCGGAGCCCGGGGCCCCGCCCAGCTGCCCCGCGAGCACCGCGTCCTCTCGCGAGAGCTCCCAGCGCGCTCTCTCCGGCCCCGAGGTCGGCGGTGCCCCTTGGTAGCTCGACGTCGCTCACGGGAGCAGTTGACACCCCTGAAGTTGGCACCTCCCACAAAACGGGGCTTTGACCCGAGGAGCGGCTGCCCACGGGCCGCCAGCCCCGGTCCCTGGCAGAGTCCATCCTGCCTCCGCCGCGGCCTCGTGGGGACATCTCAGCGGTGACCAGGGCCATGCCCAAGGGCGAGACCCCAACACGTCGGAGCGCAGACAGCCCAGGGGACACAGCCGAGCCCCCAGCGGGAAGCTGCAGGATGAGGCCGCAGGGTGGGAGGAGGAGGCAAAAGGCGTGTCCCCGCCTGTCCCTCGGGGGACACTGGAGAAGCCCCCAGTGACTCACAGGCCACCGCCTGCGGCCGGAGCCAGGTTATGAATAGGCCTGACGTGTGGGTGACGTGGCTGTGCTGGCTCCGTCCCCTCCCCTTCAGCCAGGCCCACTAGCCGCCAAGAGTCACCCCCAGCGGAGGCTCCGGGGGGAGTCCTGCCCTGGTGGAGGCTGCGGCCGCCCCTGCACGGGTCACTAAGCCGGTTCCCACAGGGCACCGGGCTCCCTGGGCCGCCCCCGGCTCCCCGCCAGCCCCACTGACCCAGGGCCCGGAGCCAGCGCGCACAGGCTTCGCCCAGCTGTAATTTAAGCAAGTGGCCTTATCACCACGGGCCCTTCCAGCCTGCAGCCCCCGCCGGCCTCGCCAGCTGCCGTCTCAAGGCCAGGAGGAGGACGCGGACGTGGAATTCTCACTGAAGGTCTCAGCCTCCCGTGGGGGTGAGGGAGGCTGGCACTGCCTCGAGGCTAGAGATGGCTGGAGACCATTCTCCATGTGTCCATGCCGATCTGAACCTCTGGGCGGCCCTCCGGGCAGACCTGCTGCCCCCAACTCCAGCCCCACAAGGCCACTGTCTGCACCTGTCCCATAAATAAGTGCCCAAGTCTTTGTGGTGACCCATAGGGCCCCTTAAGACCACCTGTTCTGCCTGGCAGGGTGGCAAACACCTGTCATCCCAGCTGATCAGGAGGCTGAGGTAGGAGGATGGCGAGTTCAAAGCCAGCCTCAGCAAAAGTGAGGAGATAAGCAGCTCAGTGAGACCCTGACTCTAAATAAAATACAAACTAGGGCTGGGGTGTGGCTCAGTGGTGGAGTGCCCCTGAGCTCAATCCCCAGTACAGCCCCTCCAAAGGAAAAAGAAACTCCCCTGTCCAAACAACCATCCTTGTCCATCCTCCAGGATGGAACCCTCTGAGCACACCCTTCCAGGCAGATTTGCACCTCAGGGCCTTTGCATATGCTGTTCCTTCTGCCTTAAATGCTTTTTGTTCTGCACATCTCATAAACCTATAACCCTCCATTTAAATTGGAGCATAGCCTCCCATCCCACCCCTCTCCCCTTCAGAGTCAGAATTTCTGTCTTCACTTTTTTTACTTGATAAAATACTTGTTAAATGGATGAGTGAGTGGATGAATGAATGACTAGGGCCATGGCTGGGAGGGGTTTCTGACATCCCACGGTGCTGTGTTCACACAGGGGACACAGGATCATGGCCCTGGTTTACCTCCTGGGAGACCCTGGGAAGCTCTCGGAGCCTCGGATTGTTCAGCTGTGAAATGGGGACACATTTGAAGCAGGAGTCCCTGGTAACTTCTCTCCATCATCTTTTCATTTCCACTTATGATGACTGTGACCCAGAGACCCCAGCCCAGGCCCCAGCACCCAGGGACTCTCTGACACTTAGGGAGAACCAAGATACCTCCTGACCCCTAACCTGCCCCAGAACCCTGAAATTCCCACTGAACCTAGAATCTAACTACATTAAGCTCTCTTGGCCATTTATCCTCACTACGGTGCCACAAGGTTGGCATTATTCCCATAGAGCACACAGCAGCTCAGAGAGGCTAAGGCCCTTGCCTGGGTCACCCAGCAAGAAGGTTGAGGAGAGAGCTGCCTCCAGATGCATCTGACTCCCTGGGTGGAGGCCAAGTCCCTGTCACAGCTCCACATCAGTCATGTAAGAG